TCCCTATTATATTTCAGATTTATTCTTTGCCTGAAATCACATTTCCTTTCAATAGTATATGGTTCCATCTCTCTGTTTCCTGAGAGCCTTTCCAGGGGTTTGCCAGTTCTGTCAGCCTTTTCAAAGCACCGGAAGTTGGCTCTGTTACTCGCATCTGTTTTGTGGTTGCTTTCTATTTTGTGTATTTCTCGTTATCTCTTTGGTCTTCTTTTCCTACTTTCTTTGAGTTTATGCAGCTGTTGTCTTATGAACTTCTTGTGTTGAATGTTTGTTTTACTGATTTTTCAGCCTTTTACGTCATATAAGTGTATCATACATTCTCATATGTGAAATTGTTTATTATTGTTCACTTCTAAGCATATTCTAAAATTACCACACTTTCTCTTATCCATGAATTATTTAAAGGGGACTCTTAATTTCTATTTTTTGTTACAGACTTCTTTTGGAATTACATGGCAGTAATTCCAAAAATATTCAGAAAATATTTTTTCAATTCAAGTTTTCAACATTAAATAAAGGTAGATTTTTTTTGGTGGGTTAAATGATCAATTTTCATAACTGTTCCAGGTGTGCTAAAGAGAATGTGATGCCTCTAGTTGTTGTAGACCACTCTGCCTGGTTCTAGGAATTGTATCTCGACCCCTTGTGGCTAAGGGCGAGGGACAACCTTTGGAATGCCAGCCACAGGAGACACAGCCTGTCTCTGGTAGCAAATGCTGCCTCAGTTTTCTCTCCCTGCCCCCAAAGCTTGGACGGAAGTCAATGACGGGTAAGACCCCTCACAGCAGGGGGCAACCTAAGCCAGACTCAATCACTTGCGAGGCTTTCATGGAAGGACTCGAGGGGCTGCAACAAGGAGCAATGGACTCTCGCACCCCCCCACCCCTCCCCCCATCCTCGGCTTTGACAAAGCCCGAGTCCCCATGTTCTCTGGGAGAAGCACTTCCTGGCTCTAATCCCCTTAAGCCTGAAAACCTGTTGGGGAGAGGTGCAGCTCCTTGCCTTGCTAGAGAGTGTCCTGGGGAAAAATCTGGCATCACAAAGACTTCCTGATAAACCTGTGAACTCTGCTCTGCTAAGAGTGCTTTCATTCATATGTTAGGGGTTCGAGCAGGAAACCTTAAAACTCTATTCCTGACAGACTCGGATTCATAGTAAGCCCTCAGATTTCTTTGAAATGTTATCTACTGTTTGATCCTTGCTGCCCTCTATTCCTGTGTATTACAGCCCAATAAAAGCCCGGGAGTGGGGGGGGAAGGGGGAGGGGTTTTTTTCTCCTAGGAGAAACTGGCCACTGCCTACTTCTCCTCCCCAAGCAGATCACAGCATGTCTCGGCCACATGCACTCGTGTCTATGGCACTCGGGGGGGAGGGGGCTTGCGAGAAAGTCGCCCCCACATCTAGTTGGTGAAATGTTCTAGAAATTCTCATTAAGTGAATCCTTTATTTCCATAATCCCCATTTCCTTTACCTTTTCTTTCTCTCTTTTTCTCCTTCTTTCTTTCCTTTTTTCTATGCTGCTTGCTGCATCTGAGTTACTGAGGGATGTATGTTAGACACAAGAATAATTAGCAACAAAGAACCAGCTGGCTCACAACAAAGAACCAGAGAAATCCAGAATGTTTCTACAGGACAACAGTTGAGTCCCTTTGATTCACATTAGGAAAATAAGGATGATTCTAAATTTAAAAAAATGATACAGAGATATAGGCCAGTTGGGCAATGGATCCTAATTTGGGAAAAACCAGCTAGAATGGATATTTTTGGGATAATTGATTTTGGGCTCTCTAAAGCCCGAGGCCCCTCTTGTTCAGGCAAGTCCAAGGGGATGCTAGTGTCCTGCCCTCCCAACAGCCAGTGCCTCAATTGTGCCAGAAGAGGGCGGACGTCATCCTCAACTTACTCCAGGGAAGGGGAGTGAAGGGACCAGTGTCTGGCAATTTACACCAGGATGGCCAAGATCAGGAGGGAAAGAGCTGGTCCATGGAACACCCAAGACATCTGCAAAATGATTTGAAGGACATATTTCCCAATACATACTTTTCCTCTTGCTTTTCCTTCTGCCCAGCTATCTGCCCAGAATCCCACCATATTGAGGCAGGAGATGGTCAGGAAGGAGGAAACTCCAGAGGTTCCCCAGGGCTAAGATAAAGGACATCAATACAGGACAGAGACCCGGTTCTAGGCCCAGTTGTTCCCGCTTTCTGGAAAAGTGCTGAATTATGGTGACACATGAATGCACCTGTGCAAATATTATATGACTCCTCCTTCATTATAATAGCGTTATAATAAATTAACATTGTGTGACCTCCTTCTCCAGTGGCCAATCAAGGAAAGTCATGGGAGACCACATGGGCAGTAGCTTTAAAGTAATACGACTACTTGTATATGTGCAGTAAAAGCCCACCAAAACTAGCCAGGAAAGATCGCCCTATAAAAATAGAGTTCTTGCCCTGGCTGGTGTAGCTCAGTGGTTTGAGCATGGGCCTGCGAACCAAAGGATCACGATTCAGTTCCCAGTCAGGGCACATGCCTGGGTTGCAGGCCAGTTCCCAGCACGGGACACACAAGAAGCAACCATACATTGATATTTCTTTCCCTCTCTCCTTCCCTTCCCCTCTAAAGATAAATAAATAAAATCTTAAAAAACTATTGTAGAGAATAGAGTTCCTCCAGTCCTGAGGGATCCATCTCTCTGCTTGGAGGTAGCCCACTCCCATGTTCTGTGGAGTGTGCTGTGGCTTAATAAATCTGCACTCTCTCTCTTTCTGCTATAAATTCTGTGTGTTCAGTTCAATTATTTGTCCATGATCACCAAGAACCTGGTTACCTGTGCCCACCTGTGACAATATTAGGATCGTCACCTGCTCCCTGTCGATGGCCCCATGGCCCAGTCCACCCTGACTGGAACTTGACCCAGTTCCTCCCCAGGACAGTCCCCGAGTCCTCAACTCTGAGGTCCGAGGACCAGACACCTTCATTCACGGTCCACATTGAGTGCCTCAGCGGCCATGTCTCTGGCCTAATTCCCAACTGCCCTTTGCTTTCTGTCCTGCTTTTGGGAAGCTCTGGTCACAGACACCCTCTCAAGCCCAATCCTACTGTTACTATAAAATTTGTTTAATGTCAATGTAAATGCACCACTAATTTTTTTCCTGCTTCTTCTTCCTTGGAGTCCCTAGGAGGCAGCTCCCCCAGTGTCCCCCCCCCCGTGTGATGTGGGAAAGGGTGCAGAGGGGCGGAGTGTGAGGGGGCTGGGGAGCTCCTGGGGCCCAGCCTCTGGAATGAATGAGGCTGGGTCAGGGTCACGGTGGGCAGAACCTGGGAGTTAGATGTTACAGACCCTGTCCGGCAGAGTCCACCTGTTGTGGCTTACGGCGAGAATCAATGCACAGCTGACAACAATCCTGTGTGGAAAAAGGGAACAGGCACAGCTGCTCTCTCATTATCTAGAGCCCTTGAAAATTTTTAGGGAGGCTGAAGAAGAGGGAGGAAGATGCTAAGCTCGGCATAGCTTGTTCCCAGGACTGAAGCAGTCCCTGGGTCTTCAGAAAGAGGATTCAGAATGGTTAAAAGACACATTGTCTCATTGTTTTCATTCCTGCATTTTTTACTATCTGAGGGAAGTGAGATCTTTTTCTTTCTTTAATAATTAATTTAAATCCTTTCTAAGTAGAATCTTTTTGATGTAACAATATTAGAGATCTCATTCTATCTACTGAAACATTTTGAGACTGAGATGTTACTTTTAAAACAGAAACAAAAATAAAATTCAGGCAAACCAGTATTTTCTAATTAAATCTCCTAAAGGAGAGAGTGAGACACTAGTCTTTATCTCACACCACCTGGTGCTGTTTGAACTTCTGCCCAACTTTTTTCTAAATAACTAAGTCCAAAGAGTCTTTATCAGGGAGACAGTTAGTAGCTTTTTTAAAAAACTGTCATATAAGCATAAAACACAGCTCTTTTTCTTTAGAGAGCCTATACTTATTGTTAAAAAGTTCCATTTTACTTTCAATTTCTGCCAGTTCAGATTCTGCAGCCCGTATTAAACCCTAGCTAATTAGCTATTGGGGAGTATAGTGTGGTGGGTCAGAAATGTACTGTTGGTGAAAACCATCAGGGAGGGCTGCCTGGTGTCCAGGGCACCCTAACCCTGCTTATGGGTTTCAGGTTTTTCCCACACATCTAAAACTGTGAGGGGGGCTCGAAGTACCAGGGGACCAACCTTTATGTCGCGCTCCTGGACTGAGCCCAGAGTTAAATTATTGAGACTGGAAGTCCCTATGAGGCCCCTACACGTCGTGGGGATTGACCCCAGACACCTCCGCAAGGCCCCTACTCACATAGGAATGCTTGAGAATTCAAGCCAAAGGGAGGAGATGCCTTTTATCTTCAGTGCCCAGCAAGAGGCTGAGACACTCATAAACAACCCTGTTAACTAACTGAGTTCTCAAAGCAATCTTTGGAGTCCAGTTGAAACAGAAACACTCATTTACTATCTGCTTTTTTGTTCACAGGCAGGCGGAGAGAAAAGGCAGAATCAAAAGGGCTGCAAAAAGCAGCTTAAAAAAAAAAAAGAATATACAGAGGCTCTTGTAAAAACGCTAATCGAAAGGAAAGTTCATTGCTCTCTCTCCCGAGCCTAAAACCTGATTGGGGACTGTGCCTCGGGGATGGGCTTGTGAGTGGTTTTACAGTGTGCCTCTTGTTGCGTGGGCTTTTGCTTGCAGTTGGCAGGAAACCTAGCATTCTTTCCTGGCCCACGTCCAGCTCATCCTGTCAAAGGTGTCTTTGTTGCGGCGAGCGACCTTGTGGCTCTTAACTGTTTGACCTCTACCCATGGGTGCGGCAATTCCCAGAGAGAGAGAGAGCAAGGCTTCTGCTTACTAAAGAAAGTGTGGTCACAAGAAAGGGCGACCTTGAAAAGATACCCATTTTCCCTAAAATACAACACACCCTACGCCCTCCGAAAAGCACTCGGGGTCCTCGGCCCTTACCTGGGCTGCTGCAGGCGTTCCACCCACACTGGTGTGTTGACTCCAACGGCCGATAGCCTTGGCTGAAGCCTTGGCACTCCCCTCTTCAGGGAGTGGCCGAGGCACCCTAGGCACTCTCCCCTTGAGAGAGTAGTCACGCCTGTTCCCTTTTTATACGTAGGATTGTTGTCGCCTGTGCATTCATTCTCACTGTAAGGCACACCAGACGGACTTGGCTGGCCAGGGTCTGCCATATCTGGCACCCAGGTACAGGGACGCAAAGGCTATCAGCCATAGTCAGACACATGGGACAAGGCTCCAGCATACATTAAACTCACTCAGAAAGCTCTCCAGTCACTGTGTGGCTTAGCTGGGTCCCCCAGCCAAACGAATGTCTTATACCCAGGGGCAAAGAATGAGACTGCATTGTAGAGGACCTTCCTAGAGGTGATCAAACTTAAACAAGACACTGAGGGTGGACCTGATCTAATCTGACTGATGTCCTTACAGGAACAGTGAGTTGGGACACACAGAGGGATGCCATGGTCTCACCAGCAGTCACCCACAGGGGAAAGGCCATAGAAGGGCAGAGGGAGGGGGTGACCATCTGCACCCAGAAGGACAGGCCCCAGGAGTGACCTCCCAGCCAACACCTCCACCTTGGACATCCAGCCTCCAGAACTGTGAGGGCTAAATGTCTGGTGAAGTCACCCAGTCCGTGGAGCAGTCACTGAATCACCTCTGAAAATGCAGATGTGTGCACCCCAGGTGCAAGGAAGCCAGAAGAGTCAGACACTGGAGCCCAGAGTCACAGAGGCTTTATTGGATTTGGCCAAAGTGAACGAAGAGAAAAGCAAGCCCTCTCCAAGTTGTCTCCTCCAAAAGCCAGAAGGCGAGCATTTCTATGCAGCTGGGAGCAGGACAAGGGCGGCTTCAGAGACCTGGAGAGAAGCCTGTGTTCCCTCCAATCAGACTCAGAGCCTGGAGTCTGCAGCTGGGCTCAGCACCCTGGGACACGGGCTTCCTCCTGCAACACACTCGGGAAGTCCCTTGGACCCTGAAGTCATCCCCTGCTTGACAAGGAGACAGCACATCAGACACTTCTGATCACCTTCCCGAGACAGAGGGACTTGAGCAGGAAGAGCTGTTCCTAGGGGAGCAGCACCATGACTGAGACACAGCTACTGGATTCTAGCTGCCCCAAAGGTAGGGGCACTCGGGGGGCCAGGGGCTGGGCCACAGAGCTCCTCAAGCAAGCCCTGGCAGCCAAGTGCCATCGCTGTCTGCTGTGACACTCCTGCACTTTGTGCCCATTGGTGTTCATTTTAATAACAGGATTCGGTTACTGTGGTGAAGTGGGAGGGCCCAGTTAAGGGGTGGGGCCCCCTGTCTGGGGGAGAGGGAGGCCTTGAGGGGTGAAGGGAAAATGGGTGTGGGGAGCACCTGAGGGAGCGAGGCAGAGAGGACAGAGCTGGGGTGCAGGTGGTGGGAGGGGAAGGGGCGCAGGAGGGAGCAGAAGTGGCAGGGGGGCTGAGGGAACACTCACCAGAGGATTTCTTCAAGCATCTTCTTCAGAGCATAATAATTTCGACGTATACCCTTCCAATACCTGAAGGACCTTCCACGGTTGTCCACAAAGTTGTCCCAACAGTATTCAAAATCTGATGCAAAGAGGGGAGACGGCAGTCAGCTCTGGCCAGGGAGCCCCTCTGTCCTGACCCTCCCTGGCCTCGCCCCTCAGGGCCTGGTCTCCCTCCCTGCAAGGTGCCATCACTCCTGCCTCAGATCCCCAAGTTCCCCTTCCACTCACTCTCCCTGGGAAACTCCAGGTGCCCCCCAGCCCCGTCCTATCCCCCAGACAGTCCTGCCCCGGCTCCCTCTGCTCTCACCCTCTGGAGACATCACAGCCAGCTCGACCCCCTCCTGGACCAGCAAGTGCCGAAGCCCCTGCTGCGGTATTCCGGCTTAGAGTGGTACAGGCGAGAGAAGGTGATGTGCAGCTGCACACACTTCTGTGTGTTCCCCAGGAAATCGGCCACCTCCTCGGCACATTCCAAGCAGGGGCTCCAGGACATGTACCAGGTGACTCGGTATGGTTCGCCAGGGGTCGGGGTCTTCTCCAAGGGCCACTCCTTGAACCAATTCAGGAAGCAGACTTCCGCATGGACTCTCTTCTTTGGATAGAACTGGAGAAGAGGGACAAGGAAAGGGGACCCTCTTGGCTGTCAGAGCAGGCCTGTGGCAGGGCTGAGTGGGTGCGGCCCAGGCCACAGGGAGCAACAGTCTCAGGGGCATGCTGTTGATCGATTTGTCCTTTTGAAGGCCCCCCTTCCCCCTCTGTGTTCCTTTGGTCTCCCCCCACACACTCGTCCGTTAACTCCAACACCCATTCTTCCATCCACTCAACCTACAGGCATCCTGAGCGCCTGCGCCTGGCCAGGCCTCTTGTTCCCCAGGTGCTGTCCCCTGGGGACGGCCAGAAAGCTGCCTTGGCTGAGCTATATACACAGCCAACTGATGTTAGGTTCATACCTTCTCATAAGGTCTGAACTCTGGGCACAGGAAAAGGTTAAATACCATGAGTGACCCCATTGCCTGTCCACCCGCAGTCACACTGCAGCACAGCTGCCATCCCATAATGATTCCTCTCCACAACAGGCTCTGAGTGGTCTGTAGCCTGGTGGAGGTGGGAGGGCTCTTCTGGGGAGGGACAGAGCAGGGAGGGGTGGGGTGAGGTCAGGGGTTGGCTGTAGGCTGGGGGTGTGCTCTGGGTCTGCTGAGGCTGCCTCCTCCTCCAGGGAGGCCTGGGCCCAGGCCCAGAGCAGGCAGGGGGCCCGCAGGGCATGGGAGTGGGTTCCTCTCTGGGGTTCACACCTGCTGGGTCTGGAGGAGTCAGGGGTGCAGCTGGGAGGACCCAGCCACCAGGCCACCTCCTGGGGCCACCTAAGGAGCTGGTGCTCAGCAGGCCCGACTCTCTCAGACGCCCCTCCCTCCAAGACGGCAGAGGCCCGGGATGAGGTACAGACCGATGGTCAGCAGACGCTCTAAAAGAGGCCTCATGGACCAGTCCAATGCCAGGGTGCATCGGGATTGAGGGGATCAAGTGGGGACCTCAAGGCCTAAACCTGAGGACATTGGTGTGAGAAGAGTGCTCTGGTGACACCTCCTTCCCTTCGGTGACAGTATCATGGCTCCCTTACCTGGTTTCGAAAGACCCCACAGTAGTATGACCTGGGAGAGTTGTTCTTTTGGTCTTCCACCCGGAAGCAGAGGTGCGTGTTGTTCCGCCCACAGGCAACTGGCAGGTTAAGGAAGTTGAAAATATAGGTCCTGGGAGGTAAGCTGTGCATTGGGTTGCTGGGGAGGAGAGAAAGCAGCAAATGCAGAGTGTTTCCCGGGCTTTCTCCCTTCTGGCTTGGCCTCAACATGGGCCCCTGACCCCCTGGTGCTGTGCCCCCCCCTCCCCCTTCCACCTACTTTCTCCCAGGCAGGCTGAAGGGGCAGAGGAACAGGAGGGGTCTGCAGGGGCAGCAGGGACCAGTGTCCTCCCCTCAGGACCCCAGTTCTGCTGCTTCCAACAGCACAACCAACCCCTGCCTCAGACTCCTGGCCAGTCATTCCCAAACAACTGGAAATAAAAGAGTAATAAAACCTCCTTCACCTCCTTCAAAATAGCCTTTAATATTGAGGTTCAAATCATGACTGACTTTTCACTTATACAGCCTTGTTTTTTAAAATATCAGGCTAACACTTAAAACTTCACTTAGGTGAGGCCTGTTCTCATCAGACATTGGGGCCCGCAGCTGGGCTTGGCTCCGCCGGACACGGTCTTCCTCCTGCAACACACTCGGGAAGCCCCTTGGACCCCGAAGTCATCCCCTGCTTGACAAGGAGACAGCACGTCAGACACTTCTGACCCACCTTCCCGAGACAGAGGGACTTGAGCAGGAAGAACTGTTCCCAGGGGAGCAGCACCATGACTGAGACACAGCTACTGGATTCTAGCTGCCCCAAAGGTAGGGGCACTCGGGGGGCCAGGGGCTGGGCCACAGAGCTCCTCAAGCAAGCCCTGGCAGCCAAGTGCCATCGCTGTCTGCTGTGACACTCCTGCACTTTGTGCCCATTGGTGTTCATTTTAATAACAGGATTCGGTTACTGTGGTGAAGTGGGAGGGCCCAGTTAAGGGGTGGGGCCCCCTGTCTGGGGGAGAGGGAGGCCTTGAGGGGTGAAGGGAAAATGGGTGTGGGGGGCACCTGAGGGAGGGAGAGGCAGAGAGGACAGAGCTGGGGTGCAGGTGGTGGGAGGGGAGGGGGCGCAGGAGGGAGCAGAAGTGGCAGGGGGGCTGAGGGAACACTCACCAGAGGATTTCTTCAAGCATCTTCTTCAGAGCATAATAATTTCGACGTATACCCTTCCAATACCTGAAGGACCTTCCACAGTTGTCCACAAAGTTGTCCCAACAGTATTCAAACTCTGTGCAAAGAGGGGAGACGGCAGTCAGCTCTGGCCAGGGAGCCCCTCTGTCCTGACCCTCCCCTGGCCTCGCCCCTCAGGGCCTGGTCTCCTCCCTGCAAGGTGCCATCACTCCTGCCTCAGATCCCCAAGTTCCCCTTCCACTCACTCTCCCTGGGAAACTCCAGGTGCCCCCCAGCCCCGTCCTATCCCCCAGACAGTCCTGCCCCGGCTCCCTCTGCTCTCACCCTCTGGAGACATCACAGCCAGCTCGGCCCCGGCACCAGCAAGGTGCCGAAGCCCCTGCCGGTATTCCGGCTTATTGGAGTGGTAGAGGCGAGAGAAGGTGATGCGCAGCTGCACACACTTCTGTGTGTTCAGGAAGTCGGCCACCTGCTTGGCACATTCCACGCAGGGGCTCCAGGACATGTACCAGGTGACTCGGTATGGTTCGCCAGGGGTCGGGGTCTTCTCCAAGGGCCACTCCTTGGACCAATTCAGGAAGCAGACTTCCGCATGGACTCTCTTCTTTGGATAGAACTGGAGAAGAGGGACAAGGAAAGGGGACCCTCTTGGCTGTCAGAGCAGGCCTGTGGCAGGGCTGAGTGGGTGCGGCCCAGGCCACAGGGAGCAACAGTCTCGGGGGCATGCTGTTGATCGATTTGTCCTTTTGAAGGTGTCCCTTCCCCTCTGTGTTCATTTGGTCTCCCCCCACACACTCGTCCGTTAACTCCAGCACCCATTCTTCCATCCACTCAACCTACAGGCGTCCTGAGCGCCTGCGCCTGGCCAGGCCTCTTGTTTCCCAGGTGCTGTCCCCTGGGGACGGCCAGAAAGCTGCCTTGTCCACAGGGGAGTCGCTAGCCACACGCATCTACCAGGCTCCTGAAGTGTGCTCACCCATAATGAGACAAGAGGCAGCTGTTCAACATGCCCTTCCTGACAATGACTTAGAGTGAGGAAATAGTGTGAACTCTCTCTGAAGAACTTTTGTGTTAATTATGTGTTGAAATGACATCTGAGCTATATTACGAAGACACAGCCAACTGATGTTAGGTTCATACCTTTCTCATAAGGTCTGAACTCTGGGCACAGGAAAAGGTTAAATGCCATGAGTGACCCCATTGCCTGTCCACCCGCAGTCCCACTGCAGCACAGCTGCCATCCCATAATGATTCCTCTCCACAACAGGCTCTGAGTGGTCTGTAGCCTGGTGGAGGTGGGATGGCTCTTCTGGGGAGGGACAGAGCAGGGAGGAGTGGGGGTGAGGTCAGGGGTTGGCTGTAGGCTGGGGGTGTGCTCTGGGTCTGCTGAGGCTGCCTCCTCCTCCAGGGAGGCCTGGGCCCAGGCTCAGAGCAGGCAGGGGCCGGCAGGGTGTGTGGGTGGGTTCCTCCCTGGGGTTCACACCTGCTGGGTCTGGAGGAGTCAGGGGTGCAGCTGGGGAGGACCCAGCCACCAGGCCACCTCCTGGGGCCACCTAAGGAGCTGGTGCTCAGCAGGCCCGACTCTCTCAGACGCCTCTCCCTCCAAGACGGCAGAGGCCCGGGATGAGGTACAGACCGATGGTCAGCAGACTCTCTAAAAGAGGCCTCATGGACAAGTCCAAAGCCAGGGTGCATCAGGGTTCAGGGGGTCAAGTGGGGACCTCAAGGCCTAAACCTGAGGACAATGGCATGGAGAGAAGGCTCTGGCATTTTACTTGTTTACTTTCCACTTCTGTGCCTTAAATGACAGGACTGTGGGTCCTGTACCTGATTTTCAAAGACTCCTCTGTCCAAGGAAATAAGTGAGTGGGTTCCTTGCACTTCGTAGCAGATGTAACAGCCATTTCGACCTGGGGGGGTGAGCTCGTTTGTGAAGTGAAAGTTGAAATAATCAGCATATAACTTCTTCATGGGGTTGCTGGGGACAAGAGAGAAAGCAGAAAATGTACAGTGTCCCCTGGGCTTTCCCCCCTGGCTTCTCCTGAAGAGGGGTCCCTGGAGGCCCTGGGTGCTGTTCCTCCCCCCTGCCTCTTCCTCCCAGGATTTCCTGCTTCCTACAAGGCTGGCCTACGGGGCACAGGAAGAGGGAGGGGTCTGCAGGGACAGCAGGGACCCGTGTCCTCTCCTGCAGGATCCTGGTTCTGCTGCTGTGAAGAGTACAACCCACCCCTGCCTCAGCCTCCTGGACACGCATCCCCAACCCACTGGAAGAAAAGAGTATAAAACCCCTTCGGCTCCCTAAAGTAGCCTTGAATATTGAGGTTCAAACCATGCCTGACTTTTCACTTATGTAGGCTTGTTTTTAAACTCTCAGGCCAACGCCTGAACTTTCAGGCTCACACCGGCGTGCTGAGAGCTCCGTGCATGTGAACTGCACTCCTCCCCAAATCTAGGGGAGTCATTGTATAGCGAAGGAAACAGGGCAAGACAAGGAGTGGCCTGGTCAAGTAGAGGGCAGGTGAGTGACAGAGCAGGTCCCTGGCCCGGGCAGAGCCCTGGCCAGCACCCACAGGCTGTGCAGGGCAGTGTGTGCCCTGTGTGGGGAGGCGCCCTCTGCCACCCAGTTGTGCACGGCGGGCGTTTCTCCTGACCGTCAGTGGCCCCGTTCTCTGCTCCAGCTGCTGGTCGCTGAGCTTACAAACGCCAAGGGCATGGCCATGTCTGGGAGCAGAGTGGCTTCACTCTTCTGCACACAGTGGGGCTGTCTCAGAGACTCACAGACCCTCTGGCCCAGGGAGCTGCTCTCACAAGGAGTGTGTGTTGGGGTCCACAGCACAGAAAATGGGTCGAAGTCCTTCCAACTACACTCACCAACTGCCCGCCCATCCCTCAGTTTCATTCTAATTGTTAAAAGTGCGCAGAAAAGGCTGTAGCTGGGACAGTCCCCACAGGCAGGGAGGGGACATCCAGCCCCACAGACTGGCAGACTGAGAGGGGGACCAGAGAACAGAGCCTGGGGGCATTGTGGGAGGGGCCGTTCAGCAGCAAGAGTGGGGACATCCCCAGAATGGGGCACAGACCCCCACTGGAGTGGGAGCTAAGGGAAGGAGCCCAGAGGGAGGAGAAGCCAGGGTGGTGGGTGGACAAGGCTGAGGACAGACCCCACAGGGCCCACTGTGCAGGAAGGGGCTACAGAGGGGACAGAGTGGGCAGCAGTACCTGGGCCAGGGCCTCGGGATGTAGCCCTTCTTCCAGGAGACTTTCCTTCTCACCATGGTCCCCAGCACTGGCTCTGCCTTTGTGCCCAGAAGGCTCCTACTTCAGGAAAGTCCCTGGTCTGACGTCTCCCAGCCTCCTCGGCTCAGGCCCCACCTCTTCCTGCAGGGGCTGCAGGGTGGGGGGCCCTGGGCTGTGGGCCTCCTGTGGCCAGACCCACCCTCCCTGCTTCCTGGGCCCTGCCCCCTGGCAGAGCTCCTCCCCTGCTGCACACAGGCCCCTCTGGCCAGCAGGACAGACATCCTTGCAAAGGGAAAGTGAAAGTGAGCATGACATGGGAGGTGGGACAGGCCCTGCTGCAGGGAGCAAGACAGAGGCCCTGCTCCCCTGGGAGGAGCTGGCTGGAGCCCCTCCCACCCCTCCGCCCCAGTGCCAGTCCACACCCAGTGCTGGCCCCTCACAGCCTGTAGAATGACCCAGGTTTGAGAAGTCTGGACTCTGGGTCAGGGACGGATGTGCTTGGAGTTCCTGGTTCTGTGCTTGGTGGCCTGCGCAAGTCCCCTCAGCCTTCCCATGGTGGGGAGAGAGGGCTGCTGCTCTGGTCCCTCTCACCCAGTTGGGTTTTCACATGTTGGGGTGGGAGGCCTCCCGCAGTCACAGGGCGGATGCTGTGCTTCCCTGTGTGGCCAGGCTCTCAGGTTAGGCCGTGCCATGCAGAAGCCGAGGATCTCGACTGCTGGTTTGGATAAGCCAACAGCACCACAAGGAGGACCTGATGGAGCAGACCCAGCCTTTATTACTGCATCACAGGGATCAGCGAGCTCAGCAGGTGGGAGCAGCGGGACTGTGCCTCCCAGTCTGAGCCCCGTTATGAGGGCCCCGGACAAAGGCAGCAGGAGTCCAGGGTCAGTGAGCTTTCCCGCAGCCAGACGCCTTGCCCCGGCAGTGTGTCCACAGAAAAAGGGAAGGTCAAGGAGGCGTCACTAGGCAGGAAACTAGTCCCCAGGGGAGATGGGGAGGGAGTTACAGTCTGGCGTGCTCAGAACAGTGCATGCCCTTTCTGGCCGGGGACCCTCTGACCAGCCGTCTTGGTGGCAGTGGGAGAGCCACGTCCAGTGCGAACCCCACACTCTGCCCCAACGTGGCTGGCATCCTTCGCATTCCAGTCTTCCAATAAAGGACCTGTGTGGTGAGCGTGTTGGCCACGGGCCCCACATACCACAGGTGCGGTAAAGGCCACACCCCAAGACTAAAAGTGCAAGACAGAAGTCAAGGACACCTAGGAGGAGGGATCGCAACCCAGAACCCAAGGAATTCCAGCAAGTCGTAAAGGCGTCAGAAGCCATGGCCCATCCATGATTGATATTGCCTCCTTGGGCAGCGAAGGCTCGGGGTATGGTGTGGGCATTACAGGGGTACGCCCACAGCTCTGTGTGCAGAAGGCACTGGTCCCCTCAGTGCAGCAGGAAGTCCAGCACGTGCCCCTTTGCAGCACAGCTGTCCTCACTCGAGTGACCTCAGCAGCAACCTGAGGGACAGCATGCATGGCATGACTAGGGTATGGCTAGGGTCTCAGATGGCTTCATGGGTTAGAGCCGTGCCTGCGGGGGACACACAAAGGGCCAGGGAGCAGCACCTCCAGTCTGAAGGCTTGACTTGAGGGCTGCCCGAATGAGCCCCAGTTCCAAGGGGCACTCGGAAGAGTATTTAACACTTGCCCTGGGGTGTGTGGTGCTCCCAGGAGCAAAGCCCAGCCCAGCTACACGGGAGGTAAGGCCAACCATGTCGGCCACAGGCCCACAGGGCTCCCCCACGGGGCCTGTGCCCCACTGGCAGAATGTCCCCGGTGGTGTGTAGCAGTCATTACCGAAATCCTCCTGCACAGGGCCGCAGCAGCCACCCCAGGAGCTGAACGGTCTCATTTGCATGGCCATTTCTGCACTCAGCACACATGGGGCCTGGTGGCTGCATTACTGCCTGTGCTGCTGATCACCACCGCACACCGCCTCGGACTGTGTAGGTGAGCCATGCTCAATGCAGGTCCCTGTTCTCTCAAAAGGGAAAACGCCTGTTGGTGTGTCTGCCCGGAGAGGGGTCAGGGAGCTCTCCAGCCTTGCAGCCAGGCCCAGCGTGTCTGCTTCACCGGGTGGACCCACCAGGACGGGTGGGCCGAGGCAGCAGTGGGCAAGTCAGTGCAGACCCAGCAACGGGAGTGGCTGCTGGCGGCTGCCACTGGGCCAGCTCCCTGGTGACAGGAGTTTCCAGAGCAGAGTCTAGGGCAATGAGGCAGATGTTTAGGAACTACTAATGGAGGCAGACTTGGCGGGCAGGCAGTACACAGGCAACAGTCAGGTCTTTGGTGGGTATGGTCACAGGAACCGGCAGACGCCCTTGGCCATCGGGGCCAGATGCTATGCTCAGGTCCTCCTGCACTCGAAGGGCCAGGACAGGTGAGTGCACCTGTCCAACCCAGGCTCTTTAGGTTCCCGTAGGAAGTGAGGCCTGCTGTGGCTTAAAACAAACAAGGGTGAGAGGCCTGGAGGCCAGTACCATGGGTGCCAGCCGCAGCCCTGTTGCCAGTCCTTCTCCCCAAGGAGGCACCAAGGAAGTCAGCCACGGGAGTCAGCCCGCACCCACCAAGGCCAGGAGAGGGTGCTTTCCCTGGGGTGTATCTGGCAGCACAGGCAAGTCCTTGTTCTTTGGTCGCCCACTCCGGGGGCAGCAGAGGCCCCTGGGTGCTTAACTGTAGGCGAATAGGAGCTGCCCAGGTTTAATGAGAAGGTTGACGGGAGATGTTTGTCCTACTCTAGGCCACTCATTCAAAGCTCATGGACACTCAGAAAGATGGGTTGTCACCCTGGAAGGAAGCAGAGTGGGTCTTCAGAACATCTTTGAAAAGGCCGTTACATCTCTTGATGAGCCGGGCTCTGGGAGGGGTGCAGAGCAGATGGAATCTCCACTGTCGATGGAGGGCATCTGTACATCCCTGCACTTGATGTCCTGCGAAATGGGCGCCTCGGTTGCTTTTAATGATGTGTGGGGTCTCCGGGCAGCATGGCGCTGCTTCTGGCCTCAGAGGGTGTCTCCCTGTGGGGCCTGCTTGCGTGGGTCTCCTTGCAGCAGGCCAGGGGTGTGTCCACGCAAGCCAGGGCAGAGCATGAGCCTCCAAGTGGGGGTGGGGACCAATGTAGTTGACCGGTCAGTGGGTCAGCGGCGTGTGCACTGTCGTGCACCACCCGTCTCTTGGGGCAGCCAGAGAGGGTGCTTTCTGCACAAACAATGTGTTGCTGACAAGCCGTGACAACATCAGAGTCAGGGAGCGACTGGCCCCAAGCCTTTACCACTTCCCGTGAGGTCTTCTGCCCCACATGACGCATCTCCCTGGGGAGCCTCTTGATGGGGCCTTCTGCTGGAGCCCCTTCTAGCCAGTAGATAGGTGCCAGGTCTCGGCCTTGGTATTGCCCAGGCTGCGGAGAGGTTGGTGTCCACTGACACACTAAAGAGTTATTGCCTTTTCCAGACTGTGTTCATAAATGTCCTCTGTCCCCATCAGGGTTGTTGAGCCACCAGCCAGTTGTCTGGTTGCCCTCCGGGCAGCCATTGAGTCAGTCCTCCGTACGCTGCCCCGTGCTCTGTGCTGACTGCCACTGGGCCTGTTCTCAGGTTGTGAAGATCCAGATGCCTCTCAACCCTGCTCATCAGCTACTTGTCCTGAGCTTCCAACCATTTGCTGCCCTGCCAGGCTGACAAAATTCCACACCCCAGGGGGTGGCAGGCCTTGGCCGGAGCCATCAGTGGACCACGCGTCCTCCGGCTCAGGGGCTCATCCCTCTTTAACAACAGGTCCAGGCCTGGGAAGGGCTGCAAGGGCCTCCGTGCTACATCTTGGTAGGTAACCGGGACCCCACGCTGCTGCGGTTCTTGCTCAGAGGGCTGGTTGCCCATTTGCTGCTCTGTTGCACAGTTGCCCTCTACTCAGTTGGAGTGGCCATCTGGGCCACTGAGTCCGTGAGTCTGTGCCCACCAGCAATGAGATAGGTAGTGTGAACTTGAACCTCAGCAAGGCAAGCTCTCAGGAGCCAGGAGAGCCTGGTAAACAGCATTCACTTCTTCTCTTGGGCTGTACTGAGTGCCTCCCACTTCCAGAGCTGCCGCGGTCCAGCCGCAGCGGGTCAGGGGGTCCCACAGGTGAGGGCAAGGCGTCGGCGCTGGGTAACAGACGACAACACGCCTCAAAGGACAGTGAAGCTCTGTTCCGTTTATTGCAAGTACAACCAGGTTTTTATATTTTCATTTCAGGTAGTGATTAATATTTGCAGTATAACATGATCATTTAAGCAGAAAAAATCAATGCAAAGGTAATCAGTAAAAGTACAAAAGTTCCCATAGATTTAGTTAAAGATTATTTTAACTAGGAGAGCCATTAATCAGACAGTTAGAAATATCTTATTGTATATTAAAGTTTCTCAGAATTTGGTATAGGGCATAAGGATACGCTAGATTGAGTAGAGAAAATAGGAAATTTATTATAAGGCCCTTGTGATGTCTAACTTAGCTATCTACCTTTTTTTGCTTAAAATGTTTTTTCTGTGTACCATAAATTCTGACTCCCTAGTGACTGTTTAGTTTGTAATAACTAACTAGCCTTTGTTATTACTTTGCCTGTCTGGTTGACATATATTCCTATTCAAGGTAAAGGAGGGGCTATTATGTTGCAGGGGGCTTTTAAGGGTACTTCTTTTAAGCTTTTCTAGGAGTTCTTTTTATAGACATGTTTTGTACTTTAATTCCTTTTAAGAAAGTAGTGAGATCATCTCATGATTTCCTAGAGTATTCTATCTTATCTTGGGTGTTTTTCTAATGATTGTTATTGATTAAGCTTGAATTCTCAGATTGTTCTGATTGTTTCCTTGTGCCTATATTCCCTGACGTTCTAGTATGATATTATTATTCTGTTCATTGAGCCGGGAAAGGTCCAGGCACACTATCTGAATCACTGCCAGGGTATTCATAATGATTAAAGCAAAAAGGTCATGATCCCCAAAGCAAGCACAATCACAATAGGTATTGCAAGGCCTTCCATGCCACGTCCACCAGGTTGGAAACTGCTTCCTTGAAGTCTTACACCCCCTCTCAGGACCTTGTCACGGAGAGAGGGATCCAACAGTGGACGCGGCAGTGGACGTGGCACAGAGCTAGGACCAGAACCCAAAGAGCACATTGGTGAGTCTTAGAGAAAACCCACTCACTCAGAAAGCTCCCCGGTCACTGTGTGGCTCAGCTGGGTCCCCCAACCAAACCGGCATACTGAGGTCCTACCCCCAGGGGTTCAGAATAGGACTGCATTGCAAAGAGGATATTCCTAGAGGTGATCAAACTTAAACAAGACACTGAGGGTGGACCTGATCTAATCTGACTGATGTCCTTACAAGAAGAGAACATTGGGACACACAGAGGGATGCCATGGTCTCACCAGCAGTCACCCACAGGGGAAAGGCCATAGAAGGGCAGAGGGAGGGGGTGACCATCTGCACCCAGAAGGACAGGCTCCCAGCCAACACCTCCACCTTGGACATCCAGCCTCGAGAACTGCGAGGGCCAAATGTCTGGTTAAGACACCCAGTCCGTGGAGCAGTCACTGATTCACCTCTGAAAATGCAGGTGTGTGCGCCCCAGGTGCAAGGAAGCCAGAAGAGTCAGAAACTGGAGCCCAGAGTCACAGAAGCTTTATTGGATTTGGCCAAAGTGAACGAAGAGAAAAGCAAGCCCTCTCCAAGTTGTCTCCTCCAAAAGCCAGAAGGCGAGCATTTCTATGCAGCTGGGAGCAGGACAAGGGCGGCTTCAGAGACCTGGAGAGAAGCCTGTGTTCCCTCCAATCAGACTCAGAGCCTGGAGTCTGCAGCTGGGCTCAGCACCCTGGGACACGGGCTTCCTCCTGCAACACACTCGGGAGGCCCCTCGGACCCCGAAGTCATCCCCTGCTTGACAAGGAGACAGCACGTCAGACACTTCTGACCCACCTTCCCGAGACAGAGGGACTTGAGCAGGAAGAACTGTTCCCAGGGGAGCAGCACCATGACTGAGACACAGCTACTGGATTCTAGCTGCCCCAAAGGTAGGGGCACTCGGGGGGCCAGGGGCTGGGCCACAGAGCTCCTCAAGCAAGCCCTGGCAGCCAAGTGCCATCGCTGTCTGCTGTGACACTCCTGCACTTTGTGCCCATTGGTGTTCATTTTAATAACAGGATTCGGTTACTGTGGTGAAGTGGGAGGGCCCAGTTAAGGGGTAGGGCCCCCTGTCTGGGGGAGAGGGAGGCCTTGAGGGGTGAAGGGAAAATGGGTGTGGGGGGCACCTGAGGGAGGGAGAGGCAGAGAGGACAGAGCTGGGGTGCAGGTGGTGGGAGGGGAGGGGGAGCAGGAGGGAGCAGAAGTGGCAGGGGGGCTGAGGGAACACTCACCAGAGGATTTCTTCAAGCATGTTCCTCAGAGCATAATAATTTCGACGTATACCCTTCCAATACCTGAAGTACGTTTCACGGTGGTCCACGAAGTTGTCCCAACAGTATTCAAAATCTGTGCAAAGAGGGGAGATGGCAGTCAGCTCTGGCCAGGGAGCCCCTCTGTCCTGACCCTCCCCTGGCCTCGCCCCTCAGGGCCTGGTCTCCTCCCTGCAAGGTGCCATCACTCCTGCCTCAGATCCCCAAGTTCCCCTTCCACTCACTCTCCCTGGGAAACTCCAGGTGCCCCCCAGCCCCGTTCTATCCCCCAGACAGTCCTGCCCCGGCTCCCTCTGCTCTCACCCTCTGGAGACATCACGGCCACTTCGACCCCCTCCTGGTCCAGTAGTTGAAGCCCCTGCTGCTGGTCTTCGTCCTCACACTTGTACAGGCGGGAGGCGGAGATGTTCAGGCTCACGTTCTCGTGCTCCCCCAGGAAATGGACCACCTCCTCTGCACACTCCAAGCAGGGGCTCCAGGACATGAACCAGGTGACATGGTAATTCACACGACGAGACAGATACTGGTCATCAAACCAAGAGAGGAAGAGCTGTTCTGCATGGAGAGGCTCCTCCAGGTAGCCGTTTACGAGGTGGGAGGGCTGTTGGGTGGAGGGACAGGGCACAGTGGGGTCAGAGCTTGGCTGCAGGCTGGGGGGCCATGTCTGCTGAGGCTGCCTCCTCCTCCAGGGAGGCCTGGGCCCAGGCTCAGAGCAGGCAGGGGGCCCGCAGGGCATGGGAGTGGGTTCCTCCCTGGGGTTCACACCTGCTGGGTCTGGAGGAGTCAGGGGTGCAGCTGGGAGGACCCAGCCACCAGGCCACCTCCTGGGGCCACCTAAGGAGCTGGTGCTCAGCAGGCCCGACTCTCTCAGATGCCCCTCCCTCCAAGACTGCAGAGGCCCGGGATGAGGTGCAGACCGATGGTCAGCAGACTCTCTAAAAGAGGCCTCATGGACCAGTCCAATGCCAGGGTGCATCGGGATTGAGGGGATCAAGTGGGGGCCTCAAGGCCTAAACCTGAGGACATTGGTGTGGGAAGAGTCCTCTGGTGACACCTCCTTTCCTCTGGTGACATCTCCTTCCCTTTGGTGACAGTATCATGGCTACTGTACCTGGTTTCGAAAAACCCCCCAGTAGCAGGGCTTGAGAGAGTTGTTCTTCCATTTTGCCACCTCAAAGCAGATGTAGGTGTTGTTCAGCCCAGGGGCAAATAGCAGGTTTCGGAAGTTGGTGTTGTAGATCTTGGGAGGTAAGCTGTGCATTGGGCTGCTGGGGAGGAGAGAAAGCAGAAAATGCAGAGTGTTTCCCGGGCTTTCTCCCTTCTGGCTTGGCCTCAACATGGGCCCCTGACCCCCTGGTGCTGTGCCTCCCCTCCCCCTTCCACCTACTTTCTCCCAGGCAGGCTGAAGGGGCAGAGGAACAGGAGGGGTCTGCAGGGGCAGCAGGGACCAGTGTCCTCTCCCATGGGATCCCAGCTCTGCTGCTTCCAGCAGCACAACCCACCCCCACCCCAGGTTCCTGCCCACCCATCCCCAACCCATGTGAATATGGAAATGCGCAGTACAGTGCTGTGTCCCCACAGGCGGTCAGCCAGCTGTTAGCAAGGACGCCAGCAAGGGCCATCAGACACCGAGCTTAGTGCACTGGGGGCCTCAGCCTGCTCGCTCAGCCGGGCTCCGCAGCCTTACGGACTCCTTCCCACACTCCAGGGCTCTGCTCTGGGCAGCTGAGTCCCAGGGGCACCGGGACTCTCCCCAGGGCAGGGGGAGGTGCTTGCCCACAGAGGCCTGTCGGTCTCACTAGGGGGTGGGCCCTCAGAGGTCAGGGAAGTTCAAGAAGTTGACTGGTTATTCTGAAAAAGCTGCTGGCCCTTCCCTGGTGATACAATCCCAGAGGAACAGGGAAGCGCTCTCTGTCTCTGGCTCCGGGTGACTTGTGCAAACACTGTTGTTCTGCATGGGCTCTCGCTCTCTCTGTCTCTCTGTGTCTCTCGGGAACAGGGCCGCTGTGTGGGTGTAGCGGCTGTGTGGGCCTGCAGCAGAGGCACGGCCACCGAAGGTCTCAGTCTGATATGAAACAGGAACTGTAAACACAGGCCTTGGTTTCCGCCTGGCCGAAGACTCGGTTGAACTTTTTCCATGGAGGGACGAACGGAGATGGGACATTGGACACCCAGGGGCAGGCTTCCACCAGAATAAACCTTGCCCACCGCCATCTCCGGGTGTAGGTCCCTGCCATGCTTGTCTCCTGATGCTGTGGAAGAGCCTGGTGTCCACGGCACCACCTCCCCCCCCCCCCAAATTCTAGTTTTTTAAATGCAGGTACATTCGTGCCTAGCCTTTGTCCTATGCAAGTTTTTTAACTCAAGCTAACAAATAAATTCACAGGCTCCGGCACTGTTCTCAGGGCTCCAAGTATGTGAACTCCCCTTCTCCTCCCCAGAATTCTCTGGGAGTCACTCCATTTCATAGAGGAAGAAGCAGGGCAAGACAAGGAGCGGCCTGGTCAAGTCCCGGGGCAGGTGGGTGACAGAGGGTAGTCACAGCCACAGGCTGTGCAGGGCAATGTGTGCCCTGTGTGGGGAGGCGCCCTCTGCCACCCAGTTGTGCACGGCGGGCGTTTCTCCTGACCGCCAGTGGCCCCGTTCTCTGCTCCAGCTGCTGGTCGCTGAGCTTACAAATGCCAAGGGCGTGGCCTTGTCTGGGAGCAGAGTGGCTTCACTCTTCTGCACAGTGGGGCTGTCTCAGAGACTCACAGACCCTCTGGCCCAGGGAGCTGCTCTCACAAGGAGTGTGTGTTGGGGTCCACAGCACAGAAAATGGGTCGAAGTCCTTCCAACTACACTCACCAACTGCCCGCCCGTCCCTCAGTTTCATTCTAATTCTTAAGAATGCACAGAAAATGTTGTAGCTGGGACAGTCCCCATAGGCAGGGAGGGGACATCCAGCCCCACAGACTGGCAGACTGAGAGGGGGACCAGGAGGACACAGCCTGGGGGAGTTGTGGGAGGGGCCATTGAGCAGCAAGAGTGGGGACATCCCCAGAATGGGGCACAGACCCCCACTGGAGTGGGAGCTGAGGGAAGGAGCCCAGAGGGAGGAGAAGCCAGGGTGGTGGGTGGACAAGGCTGAGGACAGACCCCACAGGGCCCACTGTGCAGGAAGGGGCTACAGAGGGGACAGAGTGGGCAGCAGTACCTGGGCCAGGGCTCCATGACGTCGTCCTCTTGCCTGGCTGTTTCTGTGTTGATTTCTGTCCCCAGCACTGGCTCTGCCTTTCTGCCCAGAAGGCTCCTACTTCAGGAAAGTCCCTGGTCTGAGGTCTCCCAGCCTCCTCGGCTCAGGCCCCACCTCTTCCTGCAGGGGCTGCAGGGTGGGGGGGCCCTGGGCTGTGGGCCTCCTGTGGCCAGACCCACCCTCCCTACTTCCTGGGCCCTGCCCCCTGGCAGGGCTCCTCCCCTGCTGGACACAGGCCCCTCTGGTCAGCAGGACAGACATTCTTGCAAAGGGAAAGTGAAAGTGAGCATGACAGAGGTGGGTGGGACCGGCCCTGCTGCAGGGAGCAGGACAGAGGCCCTGCTCCCCTGGGAGGGGCTGGCTGGAGCCCCTCCCACAGCCCTGGGCCCCAGGGCCAGTCCACACCCAGTGCTGGCCCCTCACAGCCTGTTGAATGACCCAGGTGATGAGAAGTCTGGACTCTGGGTCAGGGACGGATGTGCCTGGAGTTCCTGGTTCTGTGCTTGGTGGCCTGCGCAAGTCCCCTCAGCCTTCCCGTGGTGGGGAGAGAGGGCTGCTGCTCTGGTCCCTGTCACCCAGTCGGGTTTTCACATGTTGGGGTGGGAGGCCTCCCGCAGTCACAGGGCGGATGCTGTGCTTCCCTGTGTGGCCAGGCTCTCAGCTTATGCTCTTTGCATATGAAGACGCTTTAATTTTTCTGAATGGTTTTCCTTTTTAATGGGTTGATTTTGAGAGAGAAGAAGAGAGAGAGGGGGCCGTGATGGGTGAAAAAGCATAGGGTAGTTGTCCCCCTCATTCATACTCGCCCTGGTATCTTTCCGTTGGGGCCTGACCGGGTTCAACCCCACGACCTTGGTGAATCAGGACATGTGAGCAGAAGTTTGTGAGGAGGGACCAGGATGCGTTCGCCTCCCAGAGTACCTGGTGCAGCACGCCCAGCTGCCTGGGGCTCCCTCAGCATGACGCAGGATACACAGAGACATGCAGAATAGACGTCTGGTGCCTGTGGTGGGCCCTGCTTGGCCCTGGAACTGTAAGGGTCGAGTTGAACCTCAGGCAGGATAGCCCCATCTCGAGCTTCCTCCCAGGTCAGTGAAATGAACAACGGCCTGTGGACTAGAATAATGCTCAGCCTCCCATCTGACTGCCAATCTTCATTCTCTTCCCTACAGTTACACTCAGTCTTAATCTTCTCCTATTGTGTGGGCTGTCATTTCAAAAACAGCATTGCTATTTTTACATTAGTTTTGGGGAGGAAATTCATCCCACAGAGCTCTCCTGGCCACCGAGGATGAGAAATAAGTTGTCCCCAACACAATCTTATTGTTCCAGCAGGAAAGGGTGTGGCGATTCCCTCTAGTGGGGAATTCCCCGAGCCTTTCTCCCAAAGGTCTTTTATTGGGAATGGTATGTGTAGGTGCATGCAGCATGCATGCATAGCTCATCAATCAATGTCAAAGGGCTGCTGTAGTCATACAAAAACAGGTATCATCTATAGATAATAGTCGAAGGAACACAGAAATATGCCTCAGGTCAGGGTCTGTTCGTCATACTGATGCCAAAGCGTCTTTAAGATGTGTTTCATGAGATAAGGAGTTTACTCCTTATGCCTTGTACTTAAACTCTACTTTTTATTAACAAGGCTTATTGCTGGGCAGAGCCAGCTTCAAAGGATACAGTGTACGTTTGGGGCCTGATTTCCATGGGAACCCTCAGTGTTGGAGTCTAGTTATGCCTGCCACCTGCGTTGTTACCTGATTTTCCATGGAGACTTACTAGCCCCTTTCAGGGTTTGGTCTTATGGGGTTGCCATCTCCGAAACCACAAGAACGGTCCCCAGCCCAAGTCTGTCAGTGAGTTTAGGTTTTTGAATTCCTGATCCTATGAACATCACTGATTTTCACTTGAAAGTGAAAAGCAGCCTCCTGTGAAAGCAGCACTGAGGGGAGAGGCTTTTGCTCATTGGCAGGTGTTTATTGACCTCTTTGGGCTCCAGGATACAGAGGGAAAAACATTTTGTGGAAGATGTTCAGTCTTCCATTTCATTACTTTGCATTTAAAGTGTATGGAAATAAGTATTTCCCTAAAAATCGAAAATGGTTCTGATACTACTGAGTAGAATCTTACTGGTGCATACTTGGAACATATCATAGATTTTAAATAAAAAGTAAATCAATTGGATATTTTTTTGAACAAATTTCCTATGAGCTCTTTGCATTTTGCCGGTGTCTTCAGATCACTGTGGAGTTGGTAGGAAAGGTGAGTTTTCTCTCCCTGACGAAGGTGTTTTATCCGTCGATCTCCAGAAGACTCCTGATCGTGCAGAGACGTTGAGTCCATCTTCAGCTTCCCTGAATCTGGACGGAGAAGCAGGTTGAAGGGTGTGGGGAGCGTAGCAGGTGGAAAGAGGAACAGAGAAGAGGTCGGGGCTCTACAGGGATGGGGAAGGACGGAGGGACACACGGACGTGGGAGAGCAGAGGGGCCTTGTGAGAGGGACCGGAGGGATGGGGCTGGTGTCCCAGGAGGGAGCAGGTGACACAGAGGAGGCCTGAGCAGAGGGAAATAACTCACCAGGGAGAGAAGGTGAGGAGGGAGGGGAGCAGGGGGAGAGCAGGGAGGGGACCTCACCCTGAGGATTCCATCCAGCATTTTTGATAGTTTCTCACTGTTTTCGTCCAGGTCAGACCAGGGCCGGAAATCTGATTCCTGGTAGCTCACAAAGGTGCTCCAGCAGCGCTTAAAGTCTGAGAGGGAACAGGAAGATACAAGTTGAGCTTCAGCTCCGGGGAGCAGCGAGCGGCCACAGGGTCTCCGCCCCTTCCCACCTTCTCCCCATCACCACTTGACTGCCACTTTTCTTTTTTCTTCCCGGGGACCTAATTATCACGGAAGGTTTTGTTACCTGGAGTGAGAGGCAGTCCAATCTTCCCTTTCTCTGGACGTCCCCTTCTTTCATTCATCTTACCTTCCCCCGCCCCAGACCACCTCCCTCCCCTGGACTCTCTCCTCCAGGGGACTCCCAGACCTCCTCAGATGCGGCACTGCCTCTGTAGGCAGCTCGCTGACGCTCCACTGGCTCTTTGGGGTTCTAGATCCTTTCTACCTCCTCCTAGTTCCTCCCAGGAGCCTTCCCCAGCTCCCTCTGCTCTCACCCTCTGGAGACATCACAGCCAGCTCGGCCCCGGCACCAGCAAGGTGCCGAAGCCCCTGCCGGTATTCCGGCTTATTGGAGTGGTAGAGGCGAGAGAAGGTGATGCGCAGCTGCACACACTTCTGTGTGTTCAGGAAGTCGGCCACCTGCTTGGCACATTCCACGCAGGGGCTCCAGGACATGTACCAGGTGACTCGGTATGGTTCGCCAGGGGTCGGGGTCTTCTCCAAGGGCCACTTCTTGAACCAATTCAGGAAGCAGACTTCCGCATGGACTCTCTTCTTTGGATAGAACTGGAGAAGAGGGACAAGGAAAGGGGACCCTCTTGGCTGTCAGAGCAGGCCTGTGGCAGGGCTGAGTGGGTGCGGCCCAGGCCACAGGGAGCAACAGTCTCAGGGGCATGCTGTTGATCGATTTGTCCTTTTGAAGGCCCCCCTTCCCCCTCTGTGTTCATTTGGTCTCCCCCCACACACTCGTCCGTTAACTCCAGCACCCATTCTTCCATCCACTCAACTTACAGGCGTCCTGAGCGCCTGCGCCTGGCCAGGCCTCTTGTTCCCCAGGTGCTGTCCCCTGGGGACGGCCAGAAAGCTGCCTTGTCCACAGGGGAGTCACTAGCCACACGCATTTACCAGGCTCCTGAAGTGTGCTCACCCATAATGAGACAAGAGGCAGCTGTTCAACATGCCCTTCCTGACAATGACTCAGGGTGAGGAAATAGTGTGAACTCTCTCTGAAGAACTTTTGTGTTAATTATGTGTTGAAATGACATCTGAGCTATATTACGAAGACACAGCCAACTGATGTTAGGTTCATACCTTTCCCATAAGGTCTGAACTCTGGGCACAGGAAAAGGTTAAATGCCATGAGTGACCCCATTGCCTGTCCACCCGCAGTCCCACTGCAGCACAGCTGCCATCCCATAATGATTCCTCTCCACAACAGGCTCTGAGTGGTCTGTAGCCTGGTGGAGTTGGGAGGGCTCTTCTGGGAAGGGACAGAGCAGGGCGGGGTGGGGGCGAGGTCAGGGGTTGGCTGTAGGCTTGGGGGTGTGCTCTGGGTCTGCTGAGGCTGCCTCCTCCTCCAGGGAGGCCTGGGCCCAGGCTCAGAGCAGGCAGGGGGCCCGCAGGGTGTGTGGGTGGGTTCCTCCCTGGGGTTCACACCTGCTGGGTCTGGAGGAGTCAGGGGTGCAGCTGGGAGGACCCAGCCACCAGGCCACCTCCTGGGGCCACCTAAGGAGCTGGTGCTCAGCAGGCCCGACTCTCTCAGACGCCCCTCCCTCCAAGACTGCAGAGGCCCGGGATGAGGTGCAGACCGATGGTCAGCAGACGCTCTAAAAGAGGCCTGTGGACCGGTCCAATGCCAGGGTGCATCAGGGTTCAGGGGGTCAAGTGGGGACATCAAGGCCTAAACCTGAGGACAATGGCATGGAGAGAAGGCTCTGGCATTGTTTACTTTCCACTTCTGTGCCTTAAATGACAGGACTGTGGGTCCTGTACCTGGTTTTCAAAGACTCCTCTCTTCAAGGAAATAAGTGAGTGGGTTCCTTGCACTTCATAGCAGATGTAACAGCCATTTCGACCTGGGGGGGTGAGCTCGTTTGTGAAGTGAAAGTTGAAATAATCAGCATATAGCTTCTCCATGGGGTTGCTGGGGACAAGAGAGAAAGCAGAAAATGTACAGTGTCCCCTGGGCTTTCCCCCTCTGGCTTCTCCTGAAGAGGGGTCCCTGGAGGCCCTGGGTGCTGTTCCTCCCCCCTGCCTCTTCCTCCCAGGATTTCCTGCTTCCTACAAGGCTGGCCTACGGGGCACAGGAAGAGGAGGGGTCTGCAGGGACAGCAGGGACCCGTGTCCTCTCCTGCAGGATCCTGGTTCTGCTGCTGTGAAGAGCACAACCCACCCCTGCCTCAGCCTCCTGGACACGCATCCCCAACCCACTGGAAGAAAAGAGTATAAACCCCCTTCGGCTCCCTAAAGTAGCCTTTAATATTGAGGTTCAAACCATGCCTGACTTTTCACTTATGTAGGCTTGTTTTTAAACTCTCAGGCCAACGCCTGAACTCTCAGGCTCACACCGGCGTGCTGAGAGCTCCGTGCATGTGAACTGCACTCCTCCCCAAATCTAGGGGAGTCATTGTATAGCGAAGGAAACAGGGCAAGACAAGGAGTGGCCTGGTCAAGTAGAGGGCAGGTGAGTGACAGAGCAGGTTCCTGGCCCGGGCAGAGCCCTGGCAGCACCCACAGGCTGCGCAGGGCAGTGTGTGCCCTGTGTGGGGAGGCGCCCTTTGCCACCCAGTTGTGCACGGCGGGCGTTTCTCTGACCGCCAGTGGCCCCGTTCTCTGCTCCAGCTGCTGGTCGCTGAGCTTACAAACGCCAAGGGCGTGGCCGTGTCTGGGAGCAGAGTGGCTTCACTCTTCTGCACAGTGGGGCTGTCTCAGAGACTCACAGACCCTCTGGCCCAGGGAGCTGCTCTCACACGGCGTGTGTGTTGGGGTCCACAGCACAGAAAATGGGTCGAAGTCCTTCCAACTACACTGACCAACTGCCCGCCCATCCCTCAGTTTCTTTCTAATTGTTAAGAGTGCGCAGAAAAGGCTGTAGCTGGGACAGTCCCCACAGGCAGGGAGGGGACATCCAGCCCCACAGACTGGCAGACTGAGAGGGGGACCAGGAGGACACAGCCTGGGGGAGTTGTGGGAGGGGCCGTTCAGCAGCAAGAGTGGGGACATCCCCAGAATGGGGCACAGACCCCCACTGGAGTGGGAGCTGAGGGAAGGAGCCCAGAGGAAGGAGAAGCCAGGGTGGTGGGTGGACAAGGCTGAGGACAGACCCCACAGGGCCCACTGTGCAGGAAGGGGCTACAGAGGGGACAGAGTAGGCAGTAGTACCTGGGCCAGGGCTTCGGGATGTAGCCCTTCTTCCAGGAGACTTTCCTTCTCACCATGGTCCCCAGCACTGGGTCTGCCTTTCTGCCCAGAAGGCTCCTGCTTCAGGAAAGTCCCTGGTCTGAGGTCTCCCAGCCTCCTCGGCTCAGGCCCCACCTCTTCCTGCAGGGGCTGCAGGGTCGGGGGGGCCCTGGGCTGTGGGCCTCCTGTGGCCAGACCCACCCTCCCTGCTTCCTGGGCCCTGCCCCCTGGCAGAGCTCCTCCCCTGCTGCACACAGGCCCCTCTGGCCAGCAGGACAGACATCCTTGCAAAGGGAAAGTGAAAGTGAGCATGACAGAGGTGGGTGGGACAGGCCCTCCTTCAGGGAGCAGGACAGAGGCCCTGCTCCCCTGGGAGGAGCTGGCTGGAGCCCCTCCCACAGCCCCCGGGCCCCAGGGCCAGTCCACACCTAGTGCTGGCCCCTCACAGCCTGTTGAATGACCCAGGTGATGAGAAGTCTGGACTCTGGGTCAGGGACGGATGTGCTTGGAGTTCCTGGTTCTGTGCTTGGTGGCCTGCGCAAGTCCCCTCAGCCTTCCGGTGGTGGGGAGAGAGGGCTGCTGCTCTGGTCCCTGTCACCCAGTCGGGTTTTCACATGTTGGGGTGGGAGGCCTCCCGCAGTCACAGGGCGGATGCTGTGCTTCCCTGTGTGGCCAGGCTCTCAGCTTATGCTCTTTGCATATGAAGACACTTTAATTTTACTGAATGGTTTTCCTTTTTAATGGGTTGATTTTGAGAGAGAAGAAGACAGAGAGGGGGCCCGTGATGGGTGAAAAAGCGCAGGTTAGTTGTCCCACTGGTTCATACTCATCTGGCATCTTGTTGGGGCCTGACTGGGGTCATCCCCGGGACCTTGGCGAGCAGGACGACCCTGATGGTCTCAGCTACCTACCCTCTCAGGGCTGAATGTTTTCACATTGAACATATTGAAATATGGTTGTTTTTCATGCATCTGTGTATGATGACAGAGCCATACAAATTTTAAGTTTGCATTGGTTTGCCTATAGGAAAACAGTGCATGAATTTTCTCCGTGTGGTTTCGTCCTACTGGTGTGTTGGGCCACAAACTTATGCATGTGGGACTGTGTGTCTGCGTGTGTGCCATCTTTGAGCTCTCTGTCCTGCTTCCTGGGCGCGTCTGTCCGTGCCTGCTTGGTGCCAGGCTGCTCTGCCGGGTCTGCAGAGCAGGCGCGACAGGCCGGCACGCACACCCACCTCATCTGGTCGTCCTTGGAGGCTGCACTGGCCCGTCCCAGATCCACGACAGTTGATGGACAAACGTTTTCATGCTTCTCGAGAAGCCCTGTGGCCAGTGTGTCACAGGTCACTGCAGCGGCACAGACCGCCGAGGCTCTCCGTCCAGGAACACGGCGCATCTCTCGACATCTGCAGGCCTCCCTCTGTGTTCTCACGGAGTCAGCATCAGGTAAAGGGGTCCTGGGAGGAAAGAAAGAGGAGGCAGCTGTGAGGATGAAGAGGAGGAGAGTGAGCATGGGCAGGAAGGGACAGGGTCCAACAGGAAGGCAATCCACTCTGGGCAGACGTAGGGAAGCAAAGGGGCCTGGGGACAGAACAGAATGGGGGGCAGAGGGGGGAAATGGAGGGTGTGAATCTGGCTCTACCTCACTGAATTACAACCTTGAGAAAAGGGACAGCACTTTGCCTCAGAGCAATAGGTTCTGAGCAGTCACTCCCTGCCCTGAGGGTTGGTGGGGTCTACACAAGCTTGGGCATGAAGGGGGCTTGGCCTGGGTGCAGACACAAGGGGAGTCGGTCCCACAAGGCTGAGGCCAGCTAGGAGACCCGGGAGTGGAACCCCTCTCAGTCTGTCCCCCTCACTTGGGCCTGGAGCCATCCCCGCTGGGATAGGCAGTCTCCCTGGCACAGCTGCCACAGGGGCAGGGGAGGCACAGAAATGGGTGCATCAGCCTGGAGGACGTGCTGGACCCCTGGGTTAGGCAGACAAGGCACCTGGTCCAGAGACAGGAGGCGCACCCAGGGGTGAGAGGAGCAGCCTGCAGAGGGGAGGTGGGGAGGCCCCATCAGGGAAGCCCGGAGGAGGGGTTCAGGAGCAAGACTGGCCTTGTCCTGGGCCCCAGCCATGGCCACCTGCTGAGGCCTCCAGTGCTGCCTGTCACCACTGCCCTCTGTCACCACTGCCCGCTGTCACCACTTCCTCCCAGCTGCACATGGGGTGAGCACAACCTGCTGGAGGACCGAGGGACTGTGTGTACATGGAAAGATGATTCGTAAATGAGACTTGCCATCCTTTTCATAAAAACCTCGCCCTTTATTGAGGATTAACTACCCCAGACATTGTCCTAAACGCACGACATTCAACTGCCAGGACCGCCCCCAAGGTCAGTCGCTGTGAGTCTCCATATTTTACAGGTGAGGAGCCCAGGAGCCAGTCCCGTTCCCTCCACAGGCCCCACATGGTCTCCCAGAAAACGCCCCTGGGACCTGTGATTCATGGGCTGTCTCATCAGCCACCCTTCATGGGGGGTCCCTGCTGTTGTCCATCCAAAGGATGCAGAGGCTGCAATGTTCTGGGCTCGGTCCTGTCCTCTCTCCACCCCTCGGATGGGGGACTGAAGTCTGGAGCGGGTCAGCCATCTGAGGCTCGGAGGAGACCAGGGAAGACAAGCCCTGGAGCAGAGCTGGGGTTCGGGGCAGTGGGCCCAGTGCCCGGGAGCATCACTGAGCCCCGGAGACTGGCCCCCCCTCCTGCTCTCCCCACAGGTCTGCTTCTGTGGAACAGGCTGACTTTCGCCCCTCCAGGCAGCTTCTGTCGCAGGCAGCACAGTCCCCAACACACCCGTCCATTTTGTATCCAGTCTTCAAGCTCCTCCTTGTCCCTTGTCCTCCCTCCATGGCCCCCAGCCCTGTGTGGTCCCTCCCTGCCCTGCCCTTACCTGTGTCTCCATCTCTCTGGTCACTTTGTCTCTCAGTGTCTCCCGCTGGTTGCTTGTCCTCCCTGACTTAGCCCCTCTCCCCTGTGGCCATCCTCATTCTCTTTCCCTCCATCATCTCACACTAAATGATCCGCCCCAGTTCCTGCAGTCACTGTGTGAGGTTGTGACTCAGTGAGGTTGGGCCCCATGTGAGCAGAAGTTTGTGAGGAGGGACCAGGATGCGTTCGCCTCCCAGAGTACCTGGTGCAGCACGCCCAGCTGCCTGGGGCTCTCTCAGCATGACGCAGGATACACAGAGACATGCAGAACAGACGTCTGGTGCCTGTGGTGGGCTCTGCTTGGCCCTGGAACTGTAAGGGTCGAGTTGAACCTCAGGCAGGATAGCCCCATCTCCAGCTTCCTCCCAGGTCAGTGAAATGAACAATGGCCTGTAGACTAGAATAATGCTCAGCCTCCCATCTGACTGCCAATCTTCATTCTCTTCCCTACAGTTACACTCAGTCTTAATCTTCTCCTATTGTGTGGGCTGTCATTTCAAAAACAGCACTGCCGTCTGTGTGCTAGTTTGACAGTGAGTTTAGGGTTTTGAACTCCAGATTCTGCTCCTACACACATTACTGGATTTTACTTGACAAGTGGAAATTAGTGTGACCTCTCCCCTCCCGTGAAGGTTCCTGAAAGAGAGAGGCTTTTGCCCATTTGTATGAGTTTGTTGAACTCTTTGCCTTTCATGACGAATGCACACAGGATGAAAATTTTGTGGGGGATTCTTAATCTTTTATTTCATTGCTTTATGTTTAAGATCGATGAAAATAATTATTTATGTAATAATAAAAAATGATTCTGAGAGTATTTAGTAGGATATTACTGCTGAATATTTCAACATATAGATTTTATGAAAAGTAAATCAATCAGATTCATTCAAAACAAATTTCTGATGAGCTCTCGAACTTTTGCCGGTTTCTGGGGATCAATTTGGAGATGGTGGCAATGGTGAGTTTTCATTTGTTCATTTGTAGCTCCTCAGAAGACAACAGACTCGTTCAGAGACGTTGAGTCCATCTTTGGTTCCCCTGAATCTGGACGGAGATGCAGGTTGAAGGGTGTGGGGAGCGTAGCAGGTGGAAAGAGGAACAGAGAAGAGGTCGGGGCTCTCCAGGGATGGGGAAGGACGGAGGGACACACGGACGTGGGAGAGCAGAGGGGCCTTGTGAGAAGGGACCGGAGGGATGGGGCTGGTGTCCCAGGAGGGAGCAGGTGACACAGAGGAGGCCTGAGCAGAGGGAAATAACTCACCAGGGAGAGAAGGTGAGGAGGGAGGGGAGCAGGGGGAGAGCAGGGAGGGGACCTCGCCCTGAGGATTCCCTCCAGCCTCTGTGACTCCCCTTGAATGTGTTTGTGCAGCTTGGGGTGGGGCTGGAATGGTCCTCCCTGGTGGTCCACGAAGGCTTCCCAGCAGTGCTGGTACTCTGAAGGGAGCAGGGACAGAGAGGTCACCCCAGTTCTAGGGAGCAGGGAGGGGCCACGTGGTGTCTGACCCCTAGGGACACACTGTGCCCATCATTGTTCCACTGTTTCCTTTCCCTTTCCTCCAAGGGACGTAGCTGTTCCCCCCAATTCTTCCCTCCAGGGGAACATGAGGCTGGGCCGTCCCCTTTTACTCCGAAGTCCCTGGGTCCCCACTGCACATGTTCCCAGCCTCCCTCCCTGCCCAGGACCAGGACCACGTCTGTCCCCAGAACTCTCTTCACCAGGAGACGCCCCTGTCCTCTCGAGTCCAACTCCCCCTCTGCAGGCAGCTGCGACAGGCTTCTCCACCAGGGGTTGTCATCTTGACCACCTCCTTCTAGCAGCTTCCCTCAGGCCTCCCCCTGCCCACTTCCCACTCCCACGAGTCCTTGCTGACCATCGATGCTCATGATGGAGACTTCGGCCCCAGCCGCCTGCAGTTGGCGCAGTCCGTCTTCATAACCCCAGTTTTTGCTATAGATGCGGGCGGCAAAGATGCGCAGGCTCAGGTGGCCGTTCTCGAGCAGGAAAGCCACCAGGCTGCGGGCACAGTCAGGGCAGGGGCTCCAGGAGATGAACAAGGTGACGCTGTAGTGCTCGTTCTTGTCCAGGCCCCAGGAAGGGATCAGATCCAGGAAGCACAGCTCTGCATGGCGGGCCTCCCCCAGTGTGTCAGCACCCTGGGCACAGAAGAGGGAGGAAAGAGTCTGTCACCTGCTGTGAACAGGAGCAGGGCGGGGCCAGGGGGAGGCAGGGGAGGCCAGCTCCCCACCGAGAGGGTGACATCTCCACACAGGGCTCACAAGGCCAAACTGTCCATGCACACGACATGGGCACGTGACAAAAGCCCACCCAGCAGTGAGGACCTGTCAGTCCACGTCAGCCAACCCTGGCTCCCCACGGCCCTGCACTCGACCCGCCTCCCTTTACACTGTCTCGCGTGAGTTCTGCGTGACTTCCGTGTGAGTTTACACTCGCGTGAGTTCCGGGGTGAGACGACTGTGTAACGTGACTCCTCTGCACCACTGCCTTCCTAGAGCCCCTCTGTTTGTGCCTGAGGTCCACGCCTCCAGGAGCCTCCCCTGTGTCGGGCCCCAGGGGACCACAGGAAGAGCTGAAGACAGAGGGTGGAGGCCCGCGAGCCCCAAGGTCACCAGTGTGATGGCCCAGAGAGGGCTGCTTCCTCCAGGGAGGGGCGCACCCTGCTGTCCAGCCACTGCCCGACCTCGCCCTCCCTGCCCGCACCAGCACTTCAGTCCCTACTGTGGGTTTCCCCTCCTGAGGGAGAGAGGGGTGAGGGCCACCGAGGCACAGGTGCCCAGGAAACGGGGCAGTGTCACTGTTGAGGCTCTTAGGCTCATGGCTACTTTGCAACTGCAGACAGAAGGATTATGGACCAGGGCCTCAGTGAGGGCACAAGTCCTGCCCATGCTGGCAGTGCTCAGCCCCAGTGGTAGTGTGTGGGCCCCTGGGGACCCAGCAGGCATCCCTGGGCTCAGTGCAGCCGGCAAGGCAGCTGTGGGGACCAGCACCCTGCCCGGGGCTCCATGCAGTGACTGGAGGGAGCACCAGGCTGCTCTCCAGCTCTCTCTGGCCAGAGGCTGCCCCAGGCAGGGACAGGGGGAGCCTGGCCCCGTGTCCAAAGGTCTTTCCCTTTGTCTGGACCCCTCCTCTGAGGTTCAGCAGGAGGGGACAGAGGAAGCCCTGGGACACTGGGACTTCCTCTATTCCATACGGCTCAAAGCTGACTGTCACTGCAGCATTGGTCCTCCGTGTCTCCAAGCAAGTGACAGAAGCTGGGGGACCAAAGGACAATGCTGAGAGGACACCTGCTGCCCCCGGTAACCTTCTCCCTGAATGTCCCAGGGCAGGCGGCCCTGCCCGCTGTGGTCTGTCACCTTGTTGCGCAGGAAGCCCTTCATCTGGTCCACTGGGATCCTGGAGTCACCTTCTGGCACGTCCCACTCGTAGCACAGGTGTGTTTCTTTCAGCATTTGTGGACTAAAGTTCTCAGCGAAGGTGGCCATATCCATCCGGGGTCTGTGGACATAGGCGGGAAAAACCCACAGGCATGGGCTCCTCCGGGGACCCCCAGTTCTCCTGCCCTTCTCTGCACATCCCCGCCCCTTCACCCTGGGCTCCCCCGGCACCCACGTCCCAGCCGGACCCATCGAGGAGGGGGGTCCGCTCTGAGCTGCAGTCACCTCGCCTCCCTCTGCGACCCCTTCCAGGCCCCTGGGGCAGTCAGCCTGTGCCTTTGTCAGGGGCCCCCCAGGAGCAGCGGGGGGTTCTCAGAGCTCTGATCAGGACCAGTCTTTGTGCCCCGAGTGGGCTGGGTCCCCTCTCCTGGCATCACCATCCTGCCCTTGACCCGCTGACCCACCCATTGCAGGTGTGGGCCCAGTGGACTGTGTCCCCCCGGTCTTCAGGCTGAACCTGAGCCACGTGGGGCTTCGTGGGCCAAGCGCATTCCCGAGTGGGACTGTCGGGAAAGGGGGACGCCAATGGCGTCTTCTTCTCATGTAATTCATGATATTTTCTTTGTGATTATGAAAGCGATGATGCCCTTTACACAAACAGAAACAGAAATCTGAACGTGACCTCCTGGCCCACAGTTCAGAGCAGGAAGAGGCCTCACAGGGCATGGAGGGAGAGGAGGAGCAGGGACTTCAAGGGTGACTCCCCTGTGTCTGGCACCAGGGCCTAGGGGGGCGGTGGGACAGCAAAGTGGACATCCACTGAGGGGTCCTGGCTGGGCAGAGCGGGGAGGGAGGTGAAGAAGCAGAGGTGTCCCCAGGGGAGAAGGTTTGCCCCATCAGGGAGCCTGGAGGAAGGGCTCAGAAGTCGAGGTGCTTCAAGGGGTGGGCAGTACCTGTCCAGGGGCGCGGGCCCGGTCTCCATGTCTGAGTTCCTTCACGGTCTCTGGCTCTTCGTCCTTCACTTGTCTGCCTGGTTGCAGCCTGTGTCCTCTTGCTGGGACACTTCCAAGGACCCGAGTGTCTTATATGCCATCAGAGCACCCAGATACTGGTGACTTGGCAGTACTCTGCCCCACCTCTTCCCTGAACTCAGGCTACTCGTGCCACCCACATGGAGCACACTAGAAGGAGTCACCTCCTTGCCCATGGAGACATGTTAAGTTTTGGTTTCTCTGTTTTGACAAAGGCCACACGTGGAAGCCATGGGGACTGCCCCTGGGCCACTGACGTCTGAGGAGGCTGTGGTCACTCTGGGCAGCATGGTGCAGCAAGACACACCTGCGAGGGCAGGGGACGGGACAACGGTTCACACCCTGAGGAGAGACAGGCACAGGACCCAGACCCCCGGAGGACGGGCCCCCGGCGCCCCCCCTGAGTGTCCCCAGCAGCCAGTGCAGGGCTGGCCAAGGTCCCACTGGAGGGGGGCCCTGCGGGGCCTCAGCCAGGATGGAGGCTCTGCTCTGGGAGGCAGCACCCGGCTTTGTCCTCGGTCCAGGAGGGGAGGGGAGAGCGACCACCCTGTGCTGAGCTCTCCCGAGGAGGCCACCACGAAAGGACAGGAGATGGGACAGGAAGCGTTCCCAGCCCATTACCCAGGGGGACTAGAAAGGCTCCCGGAGGGATCAGGGCTCCCCAGGACGGTGCTGGGGTGGGAGGACCCAGCACCTGCACAGCCTCATAATGGCCACCATGTTTTTCTCTCCACCTCCATGTCATGTCAAATGTGGGGACCCTGTGTTCCAGGCTCAGGTGTCCTGAGCCCTAGCTGGCCGTGTTTGTCCCCAAGGGGATGCCCCTGTGTCCCACAGACCATCCATCTAGGCTCCTCTTAGACCACCACCTGCAGGCCCGGTGCTCCCCACCCAGGGGTCATGTGGCCCACGGGGTTCCCCATGGCCACCTGCATGGAGAACCAGGCCTCAGCTACCCCGGGCTGGTGGTCACACCCTAGGGGCAAAACTTGAAATCAGTGCCCCCTTTCCCTCCGGTGGGTGCCCCTCCACACTCAAACAGGGGTCCCCTGTGCCAGACCCCTCCTATCTCCTGTGTCCTCTCAACCTTGGTCCCCCAAGCAGATAGTGTCCCCCTGGCTGGTGGTGGCTCAGGGTGTTCCCAGTGAGACCCTACCCGGGTGTGATTTTTCTGTTCAACCTGTGTCCCCAGTTCGCAGGTTACACTCAGCACCCACGCATGCCCTCCACCCCCAGGCCTTCGCAGCCTTCCTGAGCTGGGGACGGCATCTCCACAGACTAGGGTTGCGTTGACTAGGGTCCCTGAGGTTGGCCCCAGCCCTGTCCCCGGTCCTCCCTTCCAGGGATGGGGATGGCACTCTGATCCCGGCCAGCTCTCCTCCTGCGCCCCAGTCTCCCCAGTCACTCAACCCCTCTGATCTCAGCAACCACCCGGGATCCGAGGGCGGGTCTCCTGTGCACACAGCCCATGCGGAGGGGAAGGGTGGGCGGAGGAGTGTGGGGTTCTGATGCTCAAGGCCCTGAGCCCTGTAGGACTCGCAAAATATGGCACCCTCATGCCTGCCCCATCCCTTCTCCCTCAGCCCCTGCAACCAAAAGGCCAGCCCCTTACCGGCTTCAGCTCTACATCACTGGAGGGCCCAAGCAGATGTGCTCTTTAAGGCTCTTCTGGAGAGTCTCGTGGGGGGACCAAGGAGGAGACATCTGTGCCTGGAGAGCACTTTGCTCCCCCATTCCAGAGGGAGGTCTCCCCATCCGTCTAGCTCCTAAGCCAGCAGCTCTGAGGTCTTCCCTCCTGCAATGTTCCCCAGGACGTCCTCCCTCCCCACCCCCTTGGCCCAGCCTGGGTGGTCACTCCCGACCTGCTCCTGCCATGCCTGCGGGTCCCTCTGTAGTGCAGACAGGCTGAGCCTGCTGCCTTCACGCCTGGGAAGGCTGCTTAGCGGTCGGTGGGCAGCACACGGGTGGCTCAGAGAGTCCCAGGAAGACTGGGGGGGACGCTGCAGGTCACTGCATCTGGACCTTCTCCCAATGGGTTTGGGCCTTGAGCTGGGTGTCTCAGTCACATCAAGAAGAGGCAGGACTGTGCTAAGGAGGTGTCAGCTGGGGCCTGGGTGGGCCTCACCTCTCTGTTTCTGGGCCCCTGCCCTTTCCAAGACTCCCACCCACCCACCCACCCAGTGGCATCCTCTCCCAGTCTGTTCCAGAAGTCTGGCTCCCCAGCTGGGGACCCTGGGGACATGTGCCCTTCCTCCCAGTCTCCGTCAGGCCAGGGCAGGACCTGGTTTTGCGTCAGCAGACCCTAGTGATCACCTTTGTGTCCACAGTGGCCTGGGCAGGACAAGCTGGAAGCAGCTGGGCAGACAGAATCGAAGGAATCCTGTCTCATCCGGGGAATGACAGTCCCGTGTCTATGTCTGTCTCTGGAATAGTGAGTGGAAACCGTGAACAAATTCCTGCAGCCTGCTCAAGTTTTCCACAAAGTGCCCAAAGGTCTGAGAAAGAAGGAAGGACCTGGGTCCCCCACGGGGGAGGGCGGGTGTGTGGGGAGAAAGGCCCCTGAGCAGGGACAGACGGTCCTGCGCCTCGTCCCATTCCCTTGTCAGGGACACTGGGAACAGGCCGGGGTGCCCGGGGAGCCCAGACTGAGGTGGTGGGGGGCGCACTGGGCCCACCCTGCCCTCCTCCCTCTCGGACTGGGGTGCGTCGTCCAATGCGTCTGGGGGCGGGCCGGGCTGCCCCGAGAGGCCCCAGGTCCACCCTCCTGTAGGGGCCCTCCTAGCCTCCAGCCCAGCCCAGGTCTCAGCAGGGGACCCAGGGACGTCACAGCCCCTCTCCAGGACCTCAGGCCCGTGTCAGGGGCAAAGTTCTGAGACTGGGGAGCTGGGAGATGGGGGAGGGGCTTCACGGAGAGGGGAGCCCTTCTCCAGACTCCTGGGGTGTTTGTTCCTTGCACCCAGAGATGGAGATGGGCTGTCGTCACAGCACAGAAATCAAAACCAAAGGAGGAGTTTCAATGTGCAGGTTCAAACCCCACGTGGGAAGAGCCGACACTCTCCACCTTCACCGGGGAGCATAGGTGTCTGGCTGTGTCTGGGGGGCCCTGAAGTGGCTCTTAAAAAAAAAAAAGATTTTATTTATTTATTTTTAGGGAGAGGGGAAGGAAGGGGGAAAGAGAGGGAGAAAAATGGGTGTCAAAGAGAAACATGGATTGGTTGCCTCAAACTGAACCCGAAAACCAGACCTGTGTCCTGACCCGTAATCGAACCGGTGTTTTTTCAGTTTGCAGGGCAACACACAGCCCACTGAGCCACACCGGGCAGGGCTGCGGGGTTCCTTTTGTCATGTCCCCTGTGACCCTGTGCCCTTCGTGTCTGGGACGGGTGATGGCCCCACGCAGCTGTGTGTGAAGCCTGCTTTTGTCACAGTGGTGGCTTCTCAGGTCCTGGGGACATTTGGAGGAGGAGCTGGCTGATACAATCCACCCAGGAGTCAGCGTTTGGAGATGGCAGCAAGATGCCCAGCGTCTCCCCAGCCCAGCAGGACAGCGTGTCAGCTCCGCATCCTCCTGCTCAGCCCCGGCCGCCAGCGCCAGCCCAGGCCTCCGCCCCTGCCAGGTGCCAACCCTGACCTCTCCTCGGGCCAGCCAGCTGACCCTCGGCACAGGACAGTTGACTCACGTTGCTGACGTCATTCACTCTACCAACGTACTTCTGTTCCAGAGACACGGGTCAGGGCAGAAGAGCTGTGGTCCCGCCAGGTAGCCCCCTCCTTTCCTCACTCCCAGGACATGTCTGAATGCCTTGGGCTCCCACTGTCTCCACCTGAGTCCTCTGAGGAAAGTGACAGGAGCCGTCTCTGTTCCTCGGGTTCTGACAACCCGACATCCTACCAGGAGACTGTGGTTGTCACCTGTCACCGAGCACTGGCCCGGTGAGGGTGTCTCTCTGTTCTCAGATGGTCCCTCCCCCTGGGGGTGAGACAGAGACCTCAGGTCTCTGAGCTCCTGGATCCATTTTTCCTCCCTCTCAGTACCCCTGCTGTGTATACAGTAGGTGCTCAGTGTATGTGCAAGGTCAATGACGACTTGCAAAGACTTTGAGGGCAACAGGAGGACTTGGGGAAGCAGGAGCCTGGCTTCCATCCAGGCGCTCAGAGGAGAGGCTGGGGTGTCAGCTGCCCTGACTCAGCAGACACACGCACACGCACACGCACACGCAGGCGTGACGAGAGGGAACCTCCTGGGGTTCCCCAGACACACCCAGAGCCTAGCTCAGCAAAACAGGAAACCTGAAGATGTTGCCACATCCCAAGGCCAGTGTGCAAGAAACTCATTATCAAATCAGTTCCTCAGCTTTCGATTTCTGGGCTCTGTCAAAAACCCCATTTCTGTTCCTGCAAGCAAGTCACCAGATGAAAAACCCCTGGGAAAGGCGAATACCCCTGTCAGCAGATACATAGGGGTTCAGAGAGCAAAGCGCGCTTCCCAGAAGCAGAGAATGCAAAGGAAAGGGTGTGGGGACAGGAAGACACGGCGCCCAGAGGGCCCACACTGTCCTCCTAGCAAAGTCATCTCCTCTCTGCTCCCAAGGGCTTGCAGGGTGGTGACCTCAGCTCCTTCCCTCCAGGGCAGGGTGGTGACCGCAGCTCCTTCCCTCCAGGGCCCCTCTTCCCCATCCTCCCTTCCTCTGGGCCTCCTCCAGCACAGCCCGCCCCTGACCCTCCGCTGGGCTCATCCCCCCAGGCATTGGCCCTGCTAGGGGCCAGCCCTGAGACCCCCAAACAGGCTTCTGCAGCCTGAGCCCTCAGGCTCCTGGCTCGGGCTTCGTGCATCCCACCGGTTCCTTGCTGCACAGGAGGCCGAACCTGTTCTTCCTGCCTTTGACCAACCGCTGGGCCTGCAGTGTCTCCAGCCACCACTGGACCTCAGCTGCTCCGCTGTGGGTTCCGGGAGCGGTTACCAGGCCCTTAGGCAAGCTAGCCTTTCCGAGTGTTGACTGAAGCAGAACTGAGGTT